ATATATACACACACACCTTCTTGGTTCGTTTCTCTGGAGAACCCTGACGGATACAAATTTTGGCTGGATCAAGGACATCTGGCCAGGCGATCTGGGTGATGAGACACCTGGCAGATATGTCACAAGCGAAGGTCTGGAAAGACATGTCAGTGGAGAAGCTGCTCAGTGAGTTCAGCTGGTGGGTGTAGGCCCCTAGGAGAGCATCTTTGAGCATTGTCCTCTAAGCAGGAAGACCTTGAAGGCCCAAATTCTTTTTGTTTCAGACTCAAGCAAGGGAATGCTGGGAAAAAGGCTTTCATATCCTCAGCACTGAGAGCCACATTGACCCCTCACCCTGACCAGTTCTACACCTAACAGCAGGGCTTTGGGGAATTTGGCCTCTTGGGTTTGGGCATGTCTGAGATGCCTTGGGATTTAGACTTTCTTTGAGAATCATTAATGACCTGTAGACTATTTAAAAATGCAGAAAAATAACTGTACATTAGAATGATATGAATTATTAAATTTCTAATTTCCACATGTAATAGCTTGTATGGGATTAAGATGCTGTTACAGTTAGCATAATACCTATAAACTGAAACTACATAGTTTCGAAGCCCCAAATTAAGTTAGTTTGCAGCTTTAGCATTGTTTTAAAAAAAAATAGCTTCAGATATACTTTATATATTCACCCATTGTAAAATTCACCCATTGTGATTCAATGATTTTTTTTTAGTAAATTTATATAGTGCAACTACACAAAAAGTTTTAGAACACTTCTAATATCCCAAAACGTTTCCTCATGCTTGTTTGTGGCCAATCCCCAGTCCTACCCCTGGCCCTAGGCAACTACTAATCAGCTTCCTGTCTATTGTTCTGCCTTTCCTAGAAATGTCATATAAATGGAATCATATAATATGTAGTTTTTCGTGTCTGGCGTCTTTCACTTAGCATGCTTTTGTTGTTCATCCATGTTGTTGCATCAGAAGTTCATTCCTATTTAATTGCTGAGTAATATTCCATTGTATGGGCATACCACATTTGTTTATCCATTCACCATTTGATGGATGTTGTGTTTCCAGTTTTCAGCTATTATGAATAATGCTGCTCTGAACATTTGCATTGAAGTCTTTTGGAGACCCATGTTTTCATTTCTCTTGGATAGATACCTAGGAGAGAAATTGCTGGGTTTATATGGCATATATATATATATATATTTATATATGTGTATATGTATATGTATATGTAAATATGTATTTATATGTAAATATGTATTTATATGTATATATATATTTATATATGTATATATGTGTGTGTGTGTGTGTGTATATATATATATATATATATATATATATATATATATATATTTAACTGTTTAAGAAATTGCCAAACTGTTTTCCAAAGTAGCTGTACCATTTCGTATTCCTACCAGCTATGTAGGAGAATTCAAATTTCTCTGCATCAGCATCATTTGGTTTCATCAGTCTTTTTTGTTATAGCCATTTGTAGTGGTATCTCATTATGAGTTTGATTTGCATTTCTTTAATGAGTAATGATGTCCAGTACCTTTTCATATGCTTATTACCCAGTTGTATATCTTCTTTGGTGAAATATATATTCAAATATCTTGACCAATTAAAAATTGGGTTGCTTGTCTTCTTCTTACTGAGTTGTAAGCATTTTTGTGATTTTTGTTATGTTCTTAAGTTAGGGGTGGTAGTTTTTGCTTTTGAAAGACTTCTCTTTATCTTTTATTTTGGAACTATATACAGCTGAAATAATTCTCCAACCCAAGTGAAATTAGCTTTGCCAGATAGTCATTGAAATGGTTCATTATTTAGAAGAGTGAGACAACCATGTGAGCGGCTGCTCATGACCGGGTCTGGCATAGCCTTGAAGCCCTGGGCCCTGTCATGCACTGAACATTCATTGAGGGACTTTTCCAATTCAAAGATTAGCTGAGATGCTCCAGGATCACTAATCACTTATTTTGCGTAGTGTCTGGAGAGTGTTTCTCTTTTTTTCCATTTATTTTTTATTTAATAAATACTTTTGAATGTCTGTAGCATTGTGTTAGCTGTGGTGGGAAATACCCCAGATAGTAAGATATCGTCTTTGTCCTTGAGAAAATATGAGAATACACAAACACAACAACAATGCAACAAAATATATGATTAAGGACAGAATGAATCGTTATACTGCAATGCCAGGAAGTGTTTGCGTAAGACAATTGAGTAACCCAAAAATATCAGTATTGAATTAAGGGTCAGCCACCTGGGTCACTTCCTAGTCTATGAAGATTACTGAAACAAAAGGAAAAAATAGAGAAAACATTTAAATAGACTTCCCCTCTTAAAAAGCACTATGTGTGTGAAAGGGGGACTTATAGCAGAGTGAGACCTGGAAGGGCTTCCTCTAATAGGTGGTGAATTATTAGTACGTTGTCTCCCAGAAGAGCTGGATCTAGTTCATGGCTGAGCTTTTGTTTCGAGGAACTTGAATCTGAGGTTAGAGATAAAATGTATGAGGCCTGTGAGGAAAGGCCACACCGGTCCCTAGTGCCCTTCCCCTCAGGCCGCGTGGGTCCCTGAGGAGGTGGCCGTGCAGATAATGGATGCTGTCTGGAAGCTGAGGAAAAAGCAATTCCTGAGAGCTGGAATGGCCCGGGAAGACATTTTGGAGGAGGTGGGGTTATACTGGATGAAGAAAGGGTAGGATTTAATAATTGAAAAAGAAAATGTAGAAGGCTCTATGATGTAAAATGCTCTTCAAGGAACCACCTGGTTATGTAGCAACACTCTGAAAAAATTTGTTTCCTACAGTTGACCACCGAGGACAAACTTAGAGCGGTTTAAGAATGTCTAAGTTGAAAACAATTATCTTACCTAGAATTAATTTTTTTTTTTTTTTGCCAGAAAATTCCCCCAATCCCCTTCATCAGCAGTAGTTCCACTTGCATCTTTTTCTCCCCTCAGATCCCAGTGGTGACAGTCACAGATGACACAGCTCTGGGGTCGGCAAAGGAAACAGCTTGCAGGATTGTTGGAAAGAACCCCGTTGAGAGGAGCACAAATGGCCGCCTTAAAGGGTGTGAAAAGAGCTGCAAAAATGGATTCAGCAAGAAACATTGTAAAGACAAAAGCCCGCTGTGTGATGGTGTCGGGGCTACCATGGTGGAAAGTAGGGTCAGCTGAGGAGAGGGTGAGCTGGCCATGCTCAGTTCCTGGTTTTGTGTTTGTGCCGGATGGTGGTGGAAACTCTTGTCCCTTTGTTATACGCTTGAGCCCGTTTTGTCCAAGGGTCAGTGCTCAGCTGGGGCTATGACTTACTGGATAAGAAAAGATAAAAGACTCTCTTTGGAGAAGGACACTCAGTGCATGACATGAGGATGTGCTTGTCAACATTAGGAGGTGTGAGTTCATGGAGATTGTGAGGCTACTGCCGAGTACTCTGCTGTCCTGGGAGATGGTTTTAGGGAAAGGCCACAGTGGCAGAATGAATAGTTAGTTCTTGACTTGGGATCCAAGTCAGTCAACAGAGCCTTGCGAAGTGAGTGCACTGGCTAGGCTTCTAAAAGCTCCCCAAACGTGACACACTGTGTACCTTCATTGCTCTGTTTCCAAAGGAAAAGCTCCTTGTTGAATTTGTGTCACCCTGCAGAAAGTAAAGTGAAACACTTTTTTCGTCAGTAAACAAGTTGGCCAGTTTTAAGAGGCTGCCCCATCACACTGCCTAGGGTTGACTCCTGGCCTGGCCACATTCTGTGTGGCCGTGGGTTTCCTCCTTAAATCCTCTGAGCCTCAGTTTCTTCACTTTATTCATCTCTAAAATAGAGACAACAAAAATTACCTAGCTCAGAAGGTTGGTGATTTAAACAGGGATTTGTTTAAAGTGAGTGCTCAATGAACATGAGAATCCTGCTTAATCAGAACTTATGATGAGCAGCTACTGTCCATTCATTCTTTCCTTAAGCAAACATTTCTTGAGCTCCAGTGGTATACCAGGCACTCCGTAGATCTGTGCTTTGCAGTACAGTAGCCATTAGCCACATGTGGCTCTTTAAATTTACATCAATTAAAACTAAATAAAATAAAGAGCCCATTTCCTCAATTGCCCCAGTCACATTTCAAGTGCTCAAAGGACACATGTGGCTGGCTCGTGGCTACTGTATTGGACAGTGTAACATAGAACATTTTCAGTATGGAGAAAGTTCTGTTGAACAGTGCTAGTCTCAATGCTGGGGATTCAGCAGTGAACATAGCAGTTATTTACACTTGATCTAAACATGGATTTTTGAGAAATCCAAACTTTCGGGTGTGCCTTGTTTTCTCCCAGGAATAGGACGATAGGGCATCTACACAGTGGGTTATTGGAGCATCATAAGTAATTAGTAGCGGTTTGATGAGATATGTGCGTGACTTTCTCTATGAGTAAGGACTCTCTTATTAATAAGAAGGATACGTGCTGTGGAAAGTTTCCTAAAACCCCCATTAAATGTTGGAAATGGGCAACCAGATAAATGACACCCCTGCCCACTTTGGGGTCATCACAGATTCTTAGGTAGCAGACGTCACAGGTGAGGCTGGAGCGATGCCCAGGTGGGAATGCAGCCTTTGCTCCCGGGAGACCTTTCCTTAGCCCTTTCAGCAGCCCTGCCAGGCTTTCCTTCCTTTTGCCCAGAGCACAGACGAGCAAAGGAGGGCAGTGGTGGGAAGGGACTAGATGCAGAGCTCTTAGAGAACCGGAGAGAACACACACAAGCCAGCTCCTGAGGGAGGAAGGCTGACTTCACGGGAAGGTTGCTTTCTACCCTCCGGCCAACACACTGTGTGACTCTGGGAAATGAGGCTTCTGACTGAATTCCTTCTCTTTCCAGTCCTCCTGTCCCTCCCTTCATCTGAAGGGAAAGGCTAAATAAGGACGAATGCATGAAGCCTCAAAGAATAAGTAATTACTATTTTGCTAGTTATTATTGCTTTTTTTTTTCCTTCAAGTCCTAGTCACTTTATGAAAGTAATATCCATTTGTGTGAACGTTCCTTAGGGAACTGGGACTGTGAAATTCCAGCTAGTCGGAGCTTGGAGGAAGTGAGCGTGCATTTGTGAGGGTGTGTGCATGTACACACGCGTGTGTGTGCCCATGCACACACACACACACACACACACACACACACACACGCCTGAGTGTGCCTCTGACAGAAAGTCTCTTGACTGAAGTTAAGGGCAAAGTAAGAATTTTAGATGACTTGTTCTTTAAATGTGTCATTGTCAGCTTCTCTCATCTCCTACATGAATATGAATGATTAAAAGTAGGCGGTGGAAAAGGAGATGCTTTCCCTGGCTGTGTCTCTTCCCCTTTTCCAATAGAGCTGGGGCACCAGAGGAGGAACAAACTGCAGGTATAAACGTTTAGGGGGAAAATCCCACATGGTTCTGTTCTGCTCCTTCCAGCACCACCCACGTGGGACACTTGTTTATGCCACACAATAACGCTCTTAGAGACTCCTGGGGGACAGGTTTAGAGCCAATGGGGACATAGCCTGTCTGACTTGACATGCACAGCCTTTCACATTTAGGGCACAGAGGCAGTCTCATTTCCCCCAGGGAACCCAGGGATACCCCAATGCTGCGTTTATCTGTAGAACTGAGCCTTAGCTACTTGCGCTTACCCAAATGCCGTGGGCGGCCGTCCCCAGCCTGTGTGCATGGGGAATTGCTTGGGGGATGTGCACCGGGCCGTTGACGTTTCCTTTTCTATTTTCCAGCCTCTATGACCCAGGAAGGTACTGGCAGGTGTGCTCATCACTTCCAGGGCTGGGGAAGCCAGTGGGATTGCACTGACCACATGCTCTGACAGGGGCGTTTCTGCTTGGGAATTTGTCAGTTTTCAACTAGTTCACTTATAGTCACCATCCATTTATGGAGTATCTACAATGTACATGCTATGTTTTAGGTCATGGGAGGTGAGAAGAGGTCAAAGATGTATGAAACTCTGGTATTTACTCTGAAAGAGCTTATAATCTATCCAGAACCTACCTCTTACTTTTGAAATGAGAAGAGGAATTAACATTTTATTGAGCCCTTACTGTGTTCCAGGTCCAGAGCCTAGCATTGTGCAGTATCACCTCACATCCACCTCACAGCCAACCTTTAAGGTGGGCATGTAGCACCTCCATCTCACACCTGAGAAATTTAACTGTAGAGAGGTTAAATATCATTTGTTGATTCTAAGACTTTTTTTTCCCCACACTTTAGCATCTAAAATAGGGATATGTCTTACAATCGATGTTATGTCACTGTTTAATTGGCAGAGACTTTTCTTTCTTGGTAGTAAGTAAAATAATCGTAGGTCTTTGCAGTGATGTTGTAGATTCTGCAAAATAGGGTATTTTGTCAGGTTCACCCAGCTGAAAAGAAGTTGACATGGGTTTGCCTGACTCTGAAGCTTGTGTGTTTACCCTCAGAACCTGCTGCAAAATCCGTGGTCCGGTTATGCTCTCCTTTGTAACTGTGCAAAGGCCGTGTGATTTTCACAGACGAAGTATGAATAGGGGGAAATGACTGGGCTGGAGCTCACATCACCTGGTTCCATAACTGAGGGGGTAGTAGCACGAGGAGCTGCATATAGCAAACAGGATGTTGAAAGATTGAGAAAAAGTTAATTATCTTCCTTTCTCTGCTGATTATAAACTCTTTTTTTTTTCTTTTAAAAGAGGCCAGCAACAAATGGCAAACTGTGGTATGCGTAAGATACAAACAAGAGTAATGCATTCCTTCATTTGTTCTGGTGTGCTCTGGGCTGAGTGTGGTGTTTTTCCCTGCAGGGATCCATTAGTGACATGACAGTGGCCCTTTTACTGTCCTGGAGAACCACGAGCGGAGACATAGGCTAGCTCCCTCCCCCACATAACTGAGTTCTGGGAAGTCCCCAAGTGCAGGCAGGCCTGTGTGTGTTTATGATTGTCACAGTGCGCTATGGTCAACACTCCTAGGTATGAGGCAGGTCTGAATTCCACGGCTGACCTGGATTCAGAAAGCAGTGCCCAGGACTAGAGCAGGGAGAAGCAGCCAAGACTGCTACCACGGTTTGATCTAAGCCTCCACGTGCTTAAAGAAATCTGGTCCCCAGTGGCCTTCGACTAAGCCGTTTTCCTGAGTAACTGATGCCCACAGCAAAGAAGTACAAGGGAGGACTGGCCAGGTAACTTGGCATCTCCCAGGAGGCCATGTGAAGAGTGGAGAGATAATACTCCTGGTGACCTGAACACCATGACCCATCCCCTGACGCCCGAGGGAAACCGAGTCTCAGAGGAGCTGAGTGGCTTGTCGGCATTCACACAGCTGATTGTTGACAGCTGAGTCAGGGCCAAACCTGGGGCTCCAGAGAGTGTTTCTTTCTCCTTTTCAGATATTTAATCACTCAGCGCCTGTGTTTCTCCAACAATGAGGAAAATGGCGAGGTTGATTTCTGGGAAGCTCTCCTACAGAAATAATGTCAAATAACTTTGGAAAAAAAACCTGTATACACAAGAGCGTTCAGTGAAGCCTTATTTATATTACCGAAGCCCTAGAAACAAACACACATAGTCCACAGTAGGGAAATGGTTAGGTAAACATGGTAAATACAGTTGATTAAATAATAAATAGCCATTGGAATTATGTCTAGGAAGACTATAGCAGGATAGGGATTTTTTTAATGATATGATTATTGGTAAAGAAAAAGGATACAGAAATATTTGTATATTATGATAGCCTTGTATAAAACATCCATGCCCAGAAAATTCAAATCTGATAGGTAATCAGCCCACATCCAATGGGGCTGCAGGATTTGGATTTTTATTCTTCTCTGAATTTTCAATTTTTAAAAATATGGTCTTGATGGAAAAACTAAATTTATTTTTCAAAAGAAAGAGACAATAACGTGGGAAAAAGTGTTTGGTTGGGATGACTCTCCAGTTCTTACATTCCGTGAGGCTTTGAATCTGGGACAGCTGTCTCCGGGCACATGCAGATGTTTATGGTGAAGCAAAAATGAGTCCAGCATTGGCCAAAGGGAAAAGGTGGTTTTCCAGGATGTGGGAGTGGGTATATAAAGGCCCAGGAGCTCTGCTGTTGTTTAGAGGAATCATTGGTTGTGACTCTGAGTTTGGGTAGAAGCCATAGGCTCTTGGTTGTAGGGTGATTTATTTGTAATTCTAACCTTGTGTGGCCAGAACCCAAGTACTGCTGGAAAGGGCTGGGGCGGTCCCGTCAGTTTTCTCGTCTCCTGAACTTGCCCCAGGCTGGGAATAGAAGCTCTTGCTGGCTTCAGCCTTCCCAAGAAATATAGGAATGTTGCAATTGCAACATTTCCAGTTTTCATTTCTCCTTTTCTTCGCAGGGAGTTTTCTTTTTAGCCAAACCTGTGCTGGTGTAGATGGTGGGCAGTGTGAGAACCCATGTTCAGAGGAACTTCATCACCTTCTGCTGGAATTGCTTTCTGGGCTGCAGGGGTGGTGATGTGCTGCCACCAAAAGGGTGTTGGCCTGGGACCCTAGACAGGTGGCTCTTGTCTAGATGCCACAGCTAATTAGCTGTGTGGCCTTGGGCAGATGACCTCACCTCCTATATTTCCACTTCCTTACCCATAAAATGCAGGCGTCACAGTGGGTTTATGAGTCCCCGGCAGTTCCCACCTTGTGTAGCTACTCCCGATAACTCACTTTTAAAGCTTGGCACTGACTGGGGAAAATTATTTGGTTTGGTAAATATTTTTAAGTGCTGTTTTATTACCACTGCTGTCAACTGCATTTTTTTTTTAATCTGTTACACAAACACACACAGCTCTCTTTTATAATAGGAAGTAGTCTTCCCTTTATCTGCAAGGGAGGAGATGCATGCATTTCAGGGGGCAAAGGGGCATGGATGGTGTAGCTTAGTGGGAAGACTGCTTGTCAGCGGTATGTGTGTGTGCCCTTGTGTGTATGTGTGTGTGACCATGTGTGCATGTGTTGTATATGTGTATATATGTGCGTGTGTGCGTCCGCCCACATGCACTGTGCTCTTGAAGGTGTGGGGTTTTTTTCCCTTTAATGTCACACTGCTGAGAACACATCTGTAAGGTAGCTGCTACTACCGATGTCAAGCCAGGAATTCAGTGGGGTTTGGTATGATTTCTGGGCACAGATTTATCAGCACAGTGGGCATTTGGGTTTAGCTTTTTCTGCAGGTGCCCCATTAAGCAGATGGTGCTTCATTGCACTAAGGAAAGATGTAGTTTTGCCCAAGAAGAACTACCGTATTCTCAGCAGCAGATCAAAGGGATATTCATTCCCAGCAACTCCGGGCCAGAAATTGTGCTGGGGACAGTTTATGGAAGGCCAGGGGAAGGGAGACAGTTACTCACACTTGAGTAATTGGCCAGGTGCAGCCACTTTTCACGCCTGTGTCCTCCCAAGATGGGCTTCCTCTGCATGTAGTCACCCTTCCCAAAAGGTAGAGCGCGAGATATGAATCAAGTCCGTTGTTACTGATCATCGCCCTGGCCGAGGAGTGAGTGCAGCTCCCAGGTCGGCATAAAGACAGAGAGGGCCTTGAAAGGAAAACAGCTCTGTGTGCTTCTCCCATCCTTTCTCCCTGTTATCTCCTAACTCAGATGGAAAATCCATGCCATATGGCAACACTAAGAAGGCAAAAATATCATCTTGCACCTTCCATCGAGTTACACGAGCAAATAATCAGGTACCAGCAGAGAATGACGTTGCTGCTCGAGGCAGTATCTGTGCCTGTGTGGGACATTTTTGGGTCACCCTAGACTGGAGGGTGGGGTGGGTGGGTGGCTCCTGTCTTTTCCAGCACTAATTTTACACTTGGTTTCAGGGTTTGACAGTGATTATAAATGGAAAGGGTTCCTGAGATCCCACCTGAACTGAGTCGTTCTTTGTATTCATAGAGAATCCTCTGGGCTCTTACCAAGGAGACACTTGGTGGGATGACAATGTCCTGAATCAGATGGGTGTTGGATGACCCAGGTTTCACTTTACATTTGCTGATGGTGCATACGGATCTTTTTCTCTTTCCTTAACATTCTCAGGGAGACAGGAAGCCGTGGTGGAGTCCTATTCCTGATGCTAATTCACTTTGTGGCCTGACCCAGCCTTTTAATATCGCCAGTCTCACCTGCTGTTATGAACTGAGGGGTTTATTTACAATGGTTCTCAAGCTCAGCTGCACATTAGGAACCCCTAGGAAGGTTTTGAACATCCTGATGTCCAGGCTGCACCCTAGACCAATTACATGAGTCTCTGAGGGTAGGAACTAGGCATTTGGTGTTTTTGAAAGGTCCTCAAAGTTAAGGAGCTTTGTTTAAAACAGTGCTTCTCAAACTTGAATGTAAGGTGGGTCACCCGAGCATCTTGTTAAATGATCCCATAGGTCTGGATGGGGCCCGAGATTCTGCATTTCTAACAA